TTCAGCATGTTGAAAGACGGTATGCAACGTGGGGGCTGCAGTGTTAGAAGACTGGTAGGCAAGACGTGGTTGCTGCATGTTGAGAAGACTGGTAGGCAAGACTGGGTTGCTGCAGTGTTTGGAAAACTGGTATGCAAGACTGTGTTGCAGCATGTTAGAAACTGGGAGTGCAAGACTGTGGTTGCGCAGTGTTAAAACTGTAGTGCAAAAATGGGTTGCGCATGTTTTAGAAGACTGGTTTGCAAAACTGTGGTTTCAGCAGTGTTGAGATGAATACAGTACAAGTCAGTACTCAGAGTGAGACGTCACACTCCACCACACCCTTTTTACATTGCTGTGAACATTCAGGGGGCACCCCGCGTCTTACATCTTTCCCCGACCACAACACATAACACACACACAACACACACACACACACACCCACACACACACACACACAACACACAACACAACACACACACAACGCTCAGGGGTATTCCCTACGAGGAAAGGGTTTAGGCAAAAATTTGGCTGACGACATTGGAGATAGGGGGGGTCAGGGGAGACATGATAAACATACAAAATACTGCGGGGAAAAGATAAGGTGGCAGAGACGGTTTTTTCCCGAGAGGAGACACAGAAACAAGGGTCCGATTGGAAGCTGAATTTTCAACGATCAGAGGGAGTTGGGGAAATATTTCCTCAGTCTAGAGTCGTCAGGGGAAATTGAATAGCCCGCAAAGGGTGTAGTGGGGGGAGGAACCATACATGCTTTAAGAGAAATTACAAAACTCAGGGAACAGAGAGAGGACCAGTAGCGACCCGGAGGAGGCGGGGGCCCGGACTGGTCCCCGACCCTGCAACCCCAATTAGGGGAGTACACACACACTGGCCAAAACTGTGGCTTTACTCTACTACCACAATAGTGGAAACCCGTAGCATCAGCACGCAGAACCCTACTACTACTCTACTACTTCTTCTTCCACAAATACTATTTTCTACCCCCATACCACACTACTACTCCCCTACTACTATTATATTCCCCGGGGCCTGGTGGCTAAAGCTCCCCGCTTTACACCGGAGGGGCCCGGGTTCGATTCCCGGGGTGGAAACATTTTACACGTTTCCTTACACCTGTTGTCCCCTTCACCTAGCAGCAAATAGGTACCTGGTGTTAGTCGACTGGTGTGGGTCGCATCCTGGGGACAAGATTAAGGACCCCAATGGAAATAAGTTAGACAGTCCTCGATGACGCACTGACTTTCTTGGGTTATCCTGGTGGCTAACCCTCCGGGGTTAAAAATCCGAACGAATCTTATCTTATCTCTTATCTCACTACTACTACTACTACCACCACTACTACCTCCACTACTACTACCACTACTGCTACTACTACTACTACCACTACTACTACCACTACTACTGACCACCACTACTACCTCCACTACTACTACTACTTCCACTACTACTACACCACTACTACCTCCACTACTACTACTACTACCACTACTGCTACTACTACTACTACCACTACTACTACCACTACTACTGCCACCACCACTACTACTACTACTACTACCACTACTGCTACTACTACTACCAATACTGCTACTACTACTACCACCACTACTACTACCACCACCACCACCACCACTACTACTACTACCACTACTACTACTACCACCACTACTACTACCACCACCACTACTACTACTACCACCACTACTACTACTACCACCACTACTACTACTACCACCACTACTACTACTACCACCACCACTACTACTACTACCACCACTACTACTACTACTACCACCACTACTACTACTACCACTACTACCTACTCACCTACACTACTACTTACCACACATACTACTACTACCACACTACCTACTACCTACTACCACCACTACTACTCACTACTACTACACCACTACTACTACACTACTATCCACACACTACTACTCACTACATACACCACACTACTACTACCTCTCACTACTACACTACTACTACACCACTACTACTACTACACTACCACACTACTACACTACCACTACTACTACTACTACTACCACCACTACTACTATACCACCACCCTAACTACTACTACTACCACCATACTACTACCACCACCTACTAACTACTACCACCACTACTATACTCACTACACTACCACTACTACTACACCACACTACAACTACCTACTACTACTACTACCTACTACTACTACTACACCACCACCTACTACTACTACACCACCACTACACTACCAATACTACCACCACCACTACTACTACTACCACCACCTACTACTACTACACCACCTACTACACACCTCACTACTACCACAACTACTATACTACTACTCCCACCACTACTACTCTACTACCACACTACCTCTACTACTACCACCACTACTACTACTCCACTACTACCTCTACTACACCACCTACTACACACTACTACCACTACTACCTACTACTACTCCTACAGAGAAGAACAGTGCAGTAGCCCTGCTGGTCGTTGCTAGACTGATACTATCCACATACAACTGTCTATCATTTCAGATGACCACAAGTGTCTAGAAAATATACACCCACCCCAGCCTGCACACCAAACCACACAAAATTCGCACAAAAATTTACACACACAACCACAAATTTCGCGCACACTCAACACATACACACCCACTCACACACTCAACACATACACACGCCACTCACACACAGCCGGAAGTTAAAAGTACAGATGAGTTTCAAGGATATTGGGAATTACTTCTTTAGGCTTTGAGTTGTCAGGTAGTGAAATGACAGACAGCGAAGTCATAGATGAAGGAACCAGACATAGTTTTTTAAAGGTATGATACACACAGTCAAGAAAGAGGGGAAAAACAGGTAGCTGCCAGCAGAGAGGCAGGACCGGGAGCTGAGACTCGACTTCTAAAGCAGGTGTAAGGAAACATACCCAATGTTTCTACCCTTTCCGGGGATCGAACCACGGATACTCAGCGTAAAGCGAGAGCGTTGTCTACCAGGCCACGGGCCTGGTAGACAACCACAACGGAAGGGATGAGCTTAGAACCCATGGCAAGCCAGTCATAAAACTGAAAGAACAGTGCGTTCACCACTGTACCACACCTGCTTCATGAAGTGTATTATTAGGTATATATTCTTGTACTCTAGGAAAGATAGCATGGACTCCACTGTGACCCACAGTGCAGATATTTACAGACGAATTCCACACTAACACAGCTGTGGCAAGCTCTAGCTCAAGTCCTTCCAAAATCCTAAGTCAAAAACCTAACTTGACATGGGTTTGAATTCCATGTTTGTTATCGTGTTAGAAAAGTGATAAAATTTCTATATTATTGATTATTACTTGTTTGATTTTGTTGGATTATTGTAGGCTAATCGGCACTTTATGACCCTTGTACGTTTAGCGTTTCTTTTTAATTATAATAATAATATTGTAGGCTAAGTTTACATGGTTTAGTGCTTATGTACATCTTAGAGCCATTGTACGAATGGTGGCTAAAGCTCTTGCTTCACACGGCGAGTGTCCGGGTTCGATTCCCAGCGAGGATAGAAACATTGGGGGTGTTTCTTTACACCGGTTGTCTATGTTCACCCATTAGTAAAATAAGTACCTGGGAGTTAGTGGACTGGTGTGGGTCGCATCCTGGGACAATGACCTAATTTGCCCGAAATGCTCACCATAACAAGGGGCTTTCTATATAGTAGTATGTCATTGATGTCAGCTATGGTCTGTATACCATGTACATGTGCTGGTAGTAAATAAAGATATTATTATTATATATACATTTTGTGTAAGTATAATGGTACGCACATGTATGTATACGTGTGCAGGTACTCACACCATGTGCATGTATAATGGTACGTACATGTATGTATACGTGTGCAGGTACACACACCATGTGCATGTATAATGATACGTACATGTATGTATACGTGTGCAGGTACACACACCATGTGCATGTATAATGATACGTACATGTATGTATACGTGTGCAGGTACACACACCATGTGCATGTATAATGATACGTACATGTATGTATACGTGTGCAGGTACATACACCATGTACATGTATAATGATACGTACATGTATGTATACGTGTGCAGGTACACACACCATGTGCATGTATAATGGCACGTACATGTATGTATACGTGTGCAGGTACACACACCATGTGCATGTATAATGGTACGTACACGTATGTATACGTGTGCAGGTACACACACCATGTGCATGTATAATGGTACGTACATGTATGTATACGTGTGCAGGTACACACACCATGTGCATGTATAATTGCATCAACATATCCTATTATTCACATCTACAAATCTAAAACTTAATTTAGAATTACTGTTAAATATTAAGTTTCCCATGGCTGCATTTGCTATTTCCATCATCATAATTAAGTTATAATGAGTGAGCAAGAGTGAGAGGTGATAATAAAGACACTCATAACTATAGCACTCTAGTACATGCAATATAACTACACAAGAAGTTATAATGTATCTCCAGAGTATAATTTTCATACCTGACATACATTTTGACTGGGCCAGCATCTGTGCTCGCCCCATGTTGTTTATGGGATAAATAAAGGGTTTTCAACCAAGCTTTCATCTAAGAAATGCTTATATATGTAAACTATCACTATTCGAATGTAAGAAAACACTTTATTGCCTGTAACAGTGAGGTATATTGGAAAACCAAGCAATAATCATGTACAACGGTGCCTGGGTAAGGTCTGGCAGTGGAGTCAACAAAAGGTATTTCCCGCACGTGTAAGTGAAAGCAAGTTAAAATTTAAACGACGTTTATTTTCGCTTGAAGCTGTACTTTAACTAGTATACTAGCTCTAGTTATAATTTCTTCGGTTATATAGTGTGGAGGTAGGGGCAGGACGTGTGTTAAGTGTGGTAAGTTGAAGTGTGTAGGTGTAAGAGTGTACGAGGGTAATGGAGTGGGAGACGAGGCAGGGAGGCGCCCCTCGCAGCTCACTACATCAGTCTGCTGGCAAACACTGGCGGGTGTAAACCTGCGCGGCTCCACTACACGCTGCCCGCACATTTCTCTCTAAACTTGCTATGGATTGTATGCGTTGATGGCCGTAGCAGTAATCTTAGTGTGATATATAATAGGTGCAGTGTGGTAAGACCCATTTTAAGCGTGTAGTTTCACTTTCGTTCGTTTTATTGCCACTTTTACCCGTCCCAGGACGCCGAGGCAAGATGGCGGACATTGACGTGAACGATCCTGAGCTCAAGTACTTGGTAGTATCCAGGGATACCTTCGAAGATCCTGCGTCCCAGGCCGAGTGGACGCAGAAGAGACTGGTGTGGATCCCCCACGGAGACCATGGCTTCGTGGCAGCAGGCATCAAGGGAGAAGTGGGAGATGAGGTGGAGGTGGAGATCGCCGACACGGGCAAGCGTGTCCGGGTGGCCAAAGATGATATTCAGAAGATGAATCCTCCTAAATTCAACAAAGTCGAGGACATGGCTGAACTTACCTGCCTAAATGAAGCGTCTGTCCTGCACAACCTCAAGGAGCGTTACTACTCTGGTTTGATTTACGTAAGTATTAAGTTTGTATATATATATATACTTTTTTTTTTGAGGTGGGCGGCAACTGTGATACCCAAAGCTACTTACCACTGTATGTTGGTGCCCAGTCATAAATACTAACTTATTTAGGCTAAACAGCCTAAATAAACGATACATAAGGAAATTCTGATGAAATTACGTTAACAATATGTAAACAAGAAAAGTTGCCATGTTCGTCAGGTGGCAGCCACCTCCACACTGCATAAATATCAACAGATCATGTAGTAAAGTACAGTACTGTTTTTATCCAGTAAACAGTGAATAAACAATTTGACAGTTATTGTAGGAAAGGTCTAGCCCTTCACGATTATTTTGCTTGTAAATCATGATTGGAGGGGATTAGACCATCACTATATCGGTACATTGCTAATGCAAACTGACGCCTCCTTGATGCTGGTGAGAGATAAGATATGATTTCGTTCGGATTTTTAGCCCCGGAGGGTTAGCCACCCAGGATAACCCAGGAAAGTCAGTGCGTCAACGAGGATTCCTTATTTCCATTGGGGTCCTCAATCTTGTCCCTCAGGATGCGAGCCACACCAGTCGACAAACACACAGGTACCTATTTGCTGCTAGGTTAACAGGACAACAGGTGTAAGGAAACGCGTCGAAATGTTTCCATTCCGCCGGGAATCGAATCCGGGCCCTCCGTGAGTGAAGCGAGAGGTTTGCCAGCCAGGCCTCGGGGCTCTTGATATTGGGAATTGGATCTGTGCTCCAGTTCCCTGAATTAAACCTGAATACCTTCCAAATCACCCCACAGGCGCTGTATAATCCTACGGTTTTAACGCTACTCCCTTGATTATAATAATGCAGTCTTGTTAAACTAGAATTTTTTATTTGGTTGATGTGAGTAGTAACGTTATTCATATCCTCCCATCGTATATCTGTTGCTGTCACTGCGTGCCAGTTTAACTTCCCTTCTCACTGTTTGCTTCTGTGGCTACCGCTTCTATGTACTTTGTCCGTCACTTACAATCTCTGAATGGATGCCCTTCATTGAGTCTGACTTGACTGTGTCTACCTGACGGACCTTCACCCTGCCTGCCTGCCTCTGTACCATTGTCTGCTTGTCCACTTGCCTTAGTTGCCTGCCTCACTCTCCTTCAGTGTATCTGCCTGCCTGACTGCCGCACTCCTGTCTACCTCACTCCTTTGCTGAATGCCTGCCTTACTGCCCCTCACTCTGCCTGAACTGGTACTCCTCCCCCCTCACTGTATCTGCCTGCCTGTCATGGTGACCCCTGACTGTATCTTGTCTTTCTATTGCTTATCTAAAGCAACCTTTCCTCACCCCATTCACTGCCTTACTGCTCCCAAGCCCCTCCCCTCACTGTTCCTGCCTGTCTACCCAAGCCCCCTCCCCTTCACCCTTCATGCCTGCCTCCCCGAGTAGCCACCCCTTCACTATCTGCCTACCTGTCAGAGCCACCCCTTCACTGCATGTCTGCTTTCTCGTGCCCATCCTCCCCTTCACTGTCTGCCTGTCCGTTTAGAGGGTTTTTCTACCCTAGGAGCCCTGCCTCTGGCCAGATTTCCTTGTTGATTGCCTGGTTCTTTAGGCTGTTGCTACTAGTAGCAACAGCTGATCAACAAGTGAATTACACAAAGTAAGCCTTATATACACCAGATCACCGAGCCGGTAGGGATCAAACCCATGACAGGTGCCATGAATTAAAGACCCACCCTTTCTGTGAGTGTTTGGCATTTTATTCTACGCGTCGTTCGCTATGGAGTTTTGACAGGTTTCAGCAGTTTATTACTGCAGGTAGGCTTATTTGGTCAAACAGGCTGTTTCTTCTGGCAGCCCGCTGACCCACATATCCATCACAACTTGGCGGAGCCAATTGTCGCATTTCCACTTTAAGACTTGTGCACTTGCTCCCATAGTGTTGATCCTCTAAAGATTTAAATAGTCAGGACCCACGAATGCTGATACAGCGTTCTCGTAATGTGACCCTTGCACTTACCGAAGTCCAGCATATGTCGAAACATTGTGAATTGAAAGTCCTCAATCTTTTAAGTTGATACACAAATCAGGCTTGACCTCTACCAGCGTCATCAGGTAGTCCGGTTTCCTTTTGACAGCTTATGCTTTTGTGGGTTGGCATTAGTCTCTTCCGGGGGTCACTGCCCCGGCAGCCCTCTACCGGATCATTCTTCTTCGTTGCTGCCCTGGTGGATCAGGCTACCTGGAGTATTCAAAGGGTTAGCCCCTGCGGCCCAGTCCTAGAAGAGTTCCCGGTGAATCATGACCTGATCAGCTAGGCTCCTACTAGTGATGGCAGCACGTAGTTTCTTGCAGTTTATGAAAATGGAGTTCTAGGAGTCTGGTCTGGCTCTTGATTTATACTTGAATAACTTCCACATCTTGATTTGTGTGCTACTGCCCTGTTGTACGAGTAACCTAAACCAGCAACCGTCGAGGGAGGTACCACCACCAACCTGTCAAATGAAAGGAAGAATAGTATTTTTTTTTTTTTTTTGCTGACAGTATTGTTGATTTTTTTTGTTCTCATGAACATGCAAGATAATTCGCCATTTTTTACGGTTTGGGTGAAAAAAACTGCCGCTACTAATAAAAATCAATATTACACGTGTGCTTACTCTTTAAACCATACCACGGGTGGGGATTGAACTCGTGGCGAAAGAGTCGTAAAACTCCAGGACAGCGCGTAAGCAACTGGGCCAGATGGCTACAATAAGATTCATTCAACTAGGTATATTTATATACCAGAGGGGTTAGCACAGGCCCCACTGTGACCACAAATGCAAATTTTTACAGATGAATCTCCCGCCAGCGTGGCCGTGACGAAATCCAGCTCTAGGCCCCTCAAAGTCATCATGACTAGCGAAATCGTAACAACACGATTGCAAACAAACCATACCATGGGCGAGGATTGAACTCGTGGTATGGTTCGTTTGCAGTCGTGGCATTACGATTTCGTGAGTCGTGCTTATTCCTTTAACAACTTATTTACTCGCATGCAATCGACAAGTGCCTTTGATAACTAATAACTAACACAACAGGCCAAGTAATGACTTATCCGAGAACTTGGGTTATTTAATGTCCATTCTGCAATAAACATTTTCTATATATTGATCATAGTTATTATAATTTTAAAAATTAAAAGTAAGAAAAGTATTGGTCTCGTAAGAAAATTGGATATCAGTATCAGCCAAAAAAAAAAAAAGTATCACCTCGTCACAAATAATATATATATATATATATATATATATATATATATATATATATATATATATATATATATATATATATTATATATATATATATATAATATATATTATATAATATATATATATTATATAATATATATTATATATATATATATATATATATATATATATATATATATTACTTGCAATCCCATTCATTGACAACTGGAACAACTTTTATGGCAAACATGATATGTATGCAAGGGATGGGGTTCATCTCTCTGGGGCAGGGGTGGTAGCACTTGCAGACTCGATTGAGAAGGCCATTGGTGAAATGCCTATGATTTTAAACTGATGGAAGATAGAGGTATGGGTGTGTGTGGGAAACAAGCAGGTTGCAACACTAGGGTTGGAAACAGTAAATGTATAAAAGGCATTCAGCATGAAGTTATAAATAAAGACAATAGAACAGGTCAGAAAACAAAGGGGGACAGCAGAGGGCAGCAAGGGACTAGCTCCCTTAAGGTTTACTATACTAATAGCAGGAGTGTTAGAAATAAGATAGATGAGCTAAGATTAATTGCAAGTGCAGGAAACATAGATATTATTGCTATAACAGAGACCTGGCTCAATCTGAAAGATAGAGAGATGCCATCTGAATGTCACATACAAGGCTATAAATTATTCCACACTGACAGGGTCAACAGGAAAGGTGGTGGAGTAGCGATGTATGTCAGAGACAATTTAAATTGTTGTGTTAGACAAGATATTAAATTAGAAGCGTCAGCCACTGAATCTGTTTGGTTACAGCTTCTCGAGGGCCGAGAAAAACTAATTTTGGGTGTGATTTACAGGGCCCCAAATCTTGATAGGGAGTGCAGTAAACTTCTATGGGACGAAATTCGTAAGGCATCTACATACGAAAATGTTGTGCTAATGGGAGATTTCAACTATAGACAGATTGACTGGAGCAATTTGACAGGAAATTTAGAGTCGGGTGACTTTCTTGATACGATCCAGGATTGTTTTTTAAAACAGTTTGTGACAGAGCCAACTAGGGGAAATAACCTCCTTGACTTGGTTCTTGCCAGTAGGGAAACACTAATTAATAATCTTGAGGTTAATGATGAGCTTGGGGAGAGTGATCACAAATCACTCAGTTTTAACATATCATGGAATTCCCCTAATAATGGCAATCAAGTCTCCGTCCCTGACTTTCGCTTGGCTGATTTCATAGGACTGAAAAATTACTTAGGTGGGCTGAACTGGAATGACCTGACTAGGGTCAGGTAGGTGGTGATGGTTGCCGATATGATGCTTTCCAGGGCATAGTTCTAGCTGCTCAGTCAAATTATGTTCCAAATAGGGAAATCAGATCAAACAAAATGATCCTAAATGGATGAACAATAGATTAAAATATCTGATTGGTCAAAAGAGAGGCATATATAGGCAAATCAAAAGAGGAGAGGGGCAATTAAGAAATCGATATATTCAGTTAAAGAGAGAAATAAAAAAGGGAATTAGAAAAGCAAAAAGAGATTATGAGGTTAAAGTTGCAAGAGAATCGAAGACTAACCCAAAAGGATTCTTTCAGGTATACAGAAGTAAGATCAGGGACAAGATAGGCCCACTCAAAAGTTCCTCGGGTCAGCTCACTGACAGTGATAAGGAAATGTGTAGAATTTTTAACACATACTTCCTCTCAGTTTTTACACAGGAGGATACCAGTGATATTCCAGTAATGATAAATTATGTAGAACAGGACGATAATAAACTGTGCACTATTAGGGTCA